TAGAAGATGGCCCAAGTCCTTGGGCCCCTGCACTGATGTGGGAGACCCGGAAGAAGCTTCTGGCTCCCCACTTCGGATCAGGTGCAACTCCGGCCGTTGCAGCCAACTGGGGAGTGAACCAGCTGATGGAAGACCTCTCTTTCTGTCTCTCTGTCTCTCCTTCTCTCTCTGTGTAGCTCTGACTTTCAAATAAATAAATAAAACTCACTACGCCACAGCACTGGCCTCAAGTTTTATTCTTAATAGAACTTAATGTGCTATAAAATCTATGCAAAGAATAACTATGCTTTTCTTCTTTTTAGCAAAATAAATATCCTGAGAAAATGTCATGCTTACTGCTCATGAAGCTCGAGGAATTGAAAAGGAGCTAGATTATGAGGCCAGGAAAACTGTATTTAGATTTACTGATTGTCTTTCAGATTTTGAGAAACATACTCTATTAGTAGCCAATTACTTAGTTTCTAAATGAGAAAGAGTCGCATTTCTGTAATGCAAGGGTCATTCACTGCTCCCAGAGGCCACGATTCAGTACAGGATGTTAGAAAATGTTTGTCATGACAGGTTCACCTGGAAGATAAACTGTCCACACTGCATAACCAAAAACAGTAACACGTCATTATCTCTTCCATTTAATGCCATAAGCAAATAATTCTACCCCAAAACTCTTTGAGTAAAAAAATTAAAATGAGGTTAGGAAAAGATGACAAAGTTTTCCTTGCAAGGCAAGAAGAACACGCCATATTGTATTCAAAGTCCTCAGCTCACCAAAGACTTGAAGCAGCTGTCAAGTTCTGTGAGCAGAATCCAGTACGTTCAAGAACAGCACACCCAATGTGAAGTTCAAGGTGCACCCCTTAGGATGGGATCCTCCCCTGTAGGACGTTCCTGAGCCTCTAAGCTGATGGAATCGTAGGCCATCCTCCCGTCACTCTCCTTTCCTGTGGCTGCTGGGGAGTCTGGACTCCATGACCCAGCCAACTTTGCAGAAAACCACAGTTTAGATGGAAAATGACTTTTGCTTTCTGGCTCCTCAGCAGTACCACACATCTAATTAGCTCAACAATTGGTCCCTGTGATAAAATCAGCTAATTTTATGTTCAAATGGCTGTTCTGTGGTAAGCAATACTGTCACTCTAAACTTCACACAGAAAGAAGTTGCTGAAGAAGCTGTTACTAGGAGGTCACCGGGGGCAAACTAGCGAAGACTATTAAATTAGTAACCTAAGTCACTGCTGGAGTTAGTGCACAGGGTCCCGCCAGGCACAGATAAAACAAAGTCCCAGAATGCACAGCCAGGGCCAGAAACGCCAAGCTTTAAAGAGGAAAACAATGAATTTCAGACGGAGGGGCAGGAGATGTGCGATACACCCCTGCTCTTAGGAGTAGACTGGGCGCAGCGTTCTAGACTCATCTGTTAGAGTAAGAAATGACTCTCCCCAGATTCAATGCTTCTCTTGTTTCAGGAGTGTGTTCAAGGTTGCCCTAGATATAAAATGCAGGAAAGTCAACTCCAGGGTCAACTCTTCAGGTTCCCGATCTGCTGCTAATGTCAGCTGGTAAGCTCTGAGGACCTCCCCTACTATGAGCTTCCCTCAGAAACCACAATACAGTTTAAGGTCTATGTAAAATAAAACATTGACATCTTTACGGTATAAAAGCTAATTATCCTGCCTTTCACAGGCATTGAAAATTGTTGACTATTTTAGTGTGCATATTATCAATGATACAAATTGAGTGAGAAGAAATTCATACAAACTTCAAAACTACAGACACAGGTTTCAGAAACATGAATTCATGCACTTTTATATAAAGATACAGAAACACATACACACTTGGATCTGAATCTATTACATCATATATATAGATAAATATGGAAAGATTAAGTACATGAATTCATTGATGTAAAATGCTTAAAATAATAATTGGTATGTATGAAGTACTCAGTTGGTAGTGCTGCTGCTGTTTTATTATTATTGTAGTTATTACATAGTTATATATGTATTCTCTATAAAACTACATTATATAAGCTATATAACTATAATCATAGAACTTAATTATGGCAAGAATGCCCTGCTGAAAACTAAACATGTGTTTTTTTTCCTCTGCCCTAACAGAAGTCCCAAAGAGTCACTTGATCAAAACTAATAATGGAGGAATAAATAAAAGGTAATTAATTAATACCCAAATTAATCTCCTATGGATATCAATTATCTAAAATCAACATGGGTCCTATTTCAAGCTAGGAAGCTGTATTGGGTAGACACTGAAAAACGAGGACTAAGTAAGCCTCTTCATCACCATACACAGAAGGCCCTGACCTTTTGAACTTAAACTCTTCTTTGTGAACTTCAGAACATCATCCCCTTCTGGGATACCCTGGAGGGAGGCTAACATTCTTCCAGAAGTCTCCTGGTGTTGGTAGTTGGTAGCCTATGGGACTATGAATCATTATAGTCAGCAGTTTATATAGAACATGAATTATAAGTGACTTTTAGCATTAATTACAAATATTGCCTTTATAATTAAATATACTAGGATTAAACCACACAGAACTGCACTTCAGGTACTTGCTTGGAGTCAGTTCTCTATGACACCTGATATGGACCTCACCTGGTGTAGGCATTCCCCTACCCATCTCTCGAATGTTGGTGCCCCTCATGTCCTAAGCCAGCTTTTGTCCTAATCTCATCTCGTCTTTCCTAAGTGAGTTTATCAGCAATTAAGGCTTTGTTTACTACACAGAAGCTGTTAACTCCCAACAACAAGAGCTTATGTTAATTGAGCACTTACTCTGTGCTAGGCCCTGTGCCTCATAAGCACTAACCCCATTACGGTGACAACAACTCCCCCTGGAAGGTAGGGGTGCCTAACACTCCACATTTCCAAAACTGAACCTACCTTCCCCAGAGACCTGCTTCTGCTCCTCCATACCACTGCACAGAGCATCACTAGTCAGGAACCTGTCCCTCCCTCTCATTGTCTTTCCACTTCCAATCACATTCCAAATTTGATTAGCTCTACTTCCTAAGAATCCCTTCATTCCACTGATGCATCTACCATCCCAGACACAGCTCCCAGCCCTTATGACTTGGAATCCATTTTTCTTTGGTTCCAATTAATCTACTGATGGGGCTTTAGGTCTTTGAGCACCTGAAAAAAAAAAAAGGGAATGACAATGCATTCTCCCTCTTACGTTTGCTTGAGTTAAATAAGATCTGTGACTTTCTAAGCAAATGTCAGGCACTTGATGACACGTGACCTGAGACAAATTGATATTTGAAGTCACATGGATAGTCACCACCATATACACCCAGGTAAGTGTACCACTGTCAGAAAAGTCATTACAGTGGATATGAGAAAGGATTGATAGGTAAAGTTTTTCAGAATAGAACCGTATACTCAAATTACTCAAAATTTAACAATTTAAAACAACATACATTTACAATTTCATAGTTCATGGTGTGGCTTAGCTGGGTGCCTCTGGCTCAAGGCTTTTCCATGAAGCTGCCATCAAGTAGTCAGCGGGGGCCATCAGAAGGCTTGATAGGGTAGAGGTGCTTCCAAGCCACTTGCATGGTTCTTGGCAGGACATGAGCTTTTACACAGGGCTGCCTCACGGCATGGCAGCTGACTTCCTCCAAGGCAAATGATCCCAGAGAGAATGACAAACAGAGGGAGCTCCCCAGACGGGAGCCACAGTCTTTTAATAACCTCAGCTCAGAAGGGGCATCCTATCACTCTGTCCTTTATTGGAAGTGAGTCACTAAATTCAGACCTTGCATAAGGAGAGGGGCTGACACATGGGCAGAGGTCACTGGGAGCAATCCTATAGACCGTCTGCCCAGAATTATCAGCCAACAGGCATCTCAGCCTTGGAGGGAGGAGCAGGAGACAGGAACAAGTGGGACCTGACAGCACCTCCCTCTGTGCTTTCTCTGCCTGTCAGAGTCAAACCGACCAGGAGTCCCAGGTCCTGCTGCTGCTCATCATCACATACATGCTTGTCCTCACTGCCCCCTCGCTCCAGCACAGGAGGTCAATGACGAACCCACATGTTCTGAGGGGCTGTTGCGCATGTGACCATCTACATGATCCTAAAACAGATCCCCATGACCGTAGCTACTAGTTCCACTGTTAAATGTGAATCCATATCCAAACAGAAGCAGTACTGCCAAGCTCTAAAAATTAAAGCAACTCAAATTGTTTTTAAAAGAACCAAATTTCCACTGGAGATTTTTTACATATATAAATTAATAGTGAAAATAATTTCATGACTTAATATATTTCTGAGAAACATTTTTGTTACAATTCTTGCAATATGGTTACTTGTAAGGGAAAGAACGTTGATTGTTGAACTGCAACCCTATTCCTCTCCACTGGATAAAGATGTGCTGGAGTCCAAATGTGAATAAAGACCTTACGTGGTCATTACAGGGGTAACTGAGTACATGAGTCATTCTAGAGAGTCCTAACCTAGTACACTGGGTCCCTATAAAAACAGGAATCGGGGCACAGAGACAGACATACAAGGCAGGTGATGTAAGTCTACTCAGGGACAGCACGCCGGCCAGCAAGGCGAGGAGAGGGGCTGGGACGCGACCTTTCCTTGTGGCCCTCAGAGGAAGCCAACACATCCGGCACCTTGCTTTTGGACTCACGGATTCCATAACTGTGAGACAATGAGCTTCTGTTGTTCACAGAAAGAAGGGTTGAGAGACAGAGACAGACAGACAAAGGAAAACCGGGAGAGAGAAAGATTGTTTTAACAAGCTACACACTCATCTGGATGTGTTGATTTCAAATAGAAATTATGAGAGCCCATCAGGAAACTTTCATTTTGTGTATTTCGTGAGCACGATGGCTCTACTCCAAGAGATGGACACACATTTCTAACAAGCCAGCAAGTGGAGCGCCGCTTCAGGTGGGAAGACCAAGCTCCCCGGCGAGGTTGGGACCTGGCCAGAGTCACTGTGGCCTGGGCAGGTCTGGGAAGCCCCTACCTGCTGGTAGTCCTCCTTGGAGCTCAGGGCCGCCTCCATCTGCTTGGCAGAGGTGGGATAGATGGCCGAGCGGTACTGACTGCCGTAGTCGTTGCCTTGGCGCATGCCTGGGGAGTGAAAAATGCAGAGGATTATCAAGTTGCCTGAGCAAACGCTGAGACGTTTTGACACTTGTGAAGTGCCATGCTGCACACTGTTTCCTTGGATGCCAATGAGACACCCTGTGTGGAAGGTGCCACCATTGCTCACTGGGCAGAGAAGGAGATGGGACAGTGTAGGTGGAAGGAGCTGGCACAGTGAGTGGCACACAGGAGCCACAATACACCTATGACTAAGGCCATGCACCCAGCCACAGGAAAACCTGGGGCACAACATCACAGAGCATATTTCCTCCATCATGGCAGCTTCCGTGTAGACGGCAGTCAATTTCTAATGAATAACAGGATCCCCAAAGTGAAGCAGCTGCAGGCATCCTAAAGCTCCCCTGTGGATCTCCACACTGCAGTCAGAATGAACTTCACACGTGTCTGTTGCATCATTCGAAAATGAATTTCTGTTCTAACAAGTACCCCAGACTCCCCCAACAGAGGATGCCATCCTTCATAAAGAACAGGTCTGCACTGTCAAGTGTGAATGCGTAAGAGAATCACCCGAGGATCTGGCTCAAATGCAGGCTCTGGTCTAGCAGGTCTGGGTGGGCCTTAGAGTCCATTTCTCATGCAATGAGACCTCAACTGAGTAGCCAGGGTTTGGGTTTACTGCGATATTTTCAAGTTTCCTTGTTTAATCACCAGGGTGTTTTTACTTTCAGTGCTATGATGAGGAGAACCCTTTTCTTCCAAATACTGCTTCTCAGCTACATCATGCAAAATGCTCCCTCCATACCAGCATGGTCAGCCTTCAAGACATACTTCCCTTGCAGGTGCCTCTCTTAGAGGTTTTATCAGCTGTGTTGTTATGTGCTTTTCCATCTTCCTCCTCTCTGAGCCTCCCAGAGAGCAGGGCTGGACAGTCACAGTACCTACTATGGTGTCAGATACATGGAAATACTTCCACAAGTCATCAAGGTGATGTGAGTCTGTACACGTCTTGTGATCTGAACTTTTCAATACTGGAGTGCCAATTAATTGATCACACTCCTTTTTTTACATTTCATTTATAGTGATAAATGCAAAGAGTATAACTTTTCTTAAGAGCTACAGGAAAAGCACATAAATGAGCGAACAGTTTGACTAGTAGAGGCACGTGCCAGGAGCTGGGAACACCAGATGTTCGCTCTGGCAGTTAATGGATTGATCAGGTGGGATTCATGACCCGAACTGCAGCCCCCCAAAAGATGCTGAAATAGTAACACACCAGCAGGAGCCATAGGCTGTCCTGGCCATGTATGTATGTATGTGTGGGTGAGGATACTGCAACAAAGTTCAGAGAAAGTAGAATTAAAAGGTAAGTTTGTTTAGGTGCAATAAAAGATTTTGGAATCTATGATTTTTTTTAAGAATTTGCATTTTCCATGAACTCTTTGAGGCTCTATTGTGAGCCTGGATGTCAAAATATTTTCACACAAAAATAAACTTATTTTTAATTCATTTTCATGAACTTTTTGAAGTGCCCTTGTATTATTTATTAAGCATCAAATATGAGTGTGTGATGGGGCATTGTTCCAGGAGCTGAGCACACAGCAATGAACAAAAGAAAACCCTATATTTATGGAATTCAAGGCAGTGGAATGTAAGAGACCAGATCAATAACCATTGCAGGTGCCTTGGCAACATCTTTTCCTTTGCCTCTTTCGATTTTCCCTTCCTTCACTTACAAGTAATGCTTTCCTTGAATGACCACTTCCCATCCTTTGATGCATAATAACACGATGGTAATCACTGTTCCTCCTGAAACACTCTCCAGGAAGAAAACAAAGAACACTGGATGGCTGATTTTCAGGAAAGTATGACATTACTCTCTCCATTCAGCGCAAGACACAGAACTAAGGGCTCCATGGGGAGCTGTTTAAATCTGACTTTCATCCCTCTCTCCTTCCCCTTTAACTTCCTTCCTTCCATTTTCCTTCACAAGAGGTATCACTAGGTAAGGAGAAGTGGCAGGTGTGACTTATTTATTTTTCAACAAATTTGCTAATATTACATATGCTTTGTATGTTGAAGACAAGAATTATTTATGTGTTTTGTTGGAGGTCTTTGAATTATCACAGGATCCTAGAAAATTGAGTTTTTGGGAAAGAATTAAGAATCATTCCAAGGACATGGATTAACAGTGGTCTTTTCCATTGGTCATATTTTCACACACAAAACAATCTGGTAGAAGGAGAGTGTAAGAAGTCCTTTAAGCTTACATCTATCTACAGATCTTACTTTGTAGCTACATGACAACCTAAAGGTACAAATATCTGGAAGGTTTCACAAAATCATGCAGCTGGACAGATAAGACATTCTAGGCAAGTATAGAAGGCAATGCATTCCTATGAGAATAATCCATGGATTAATTATGTAATTAGAAGTTATGAACTACCACCACAACCAAGACAAGAATTCATGGATCCTGGCCGGCGCCGTGGCTCAATAGGCTAATCCTCCGCCTAGCGGCGCCGGCACACTGGGTTCTAGTCCCGGTCGGGGCGCCGGATTCTGTCCCGGTTGCCCCTCTTCCAGGCCAGCCCTCTGCTGTGGCCAGGGAGTGCAGTGGAGGATGGCCCAGGTGCTTGGGCCCTGCACCCCATGGGAGACCAGGAGAAGCACCTGGCTCCTGGCTCCTGCCGTCGGATCAGCGCGGTGCACCGGCCGCAGCGCGCCGGCCGCGGCGGCCATTGGAGGGTGAACCAACGGCAAGGGAAGACCTTTCTCTCTGTCTCTCTCTCTCACTGTCCACTCTGCCTGTCGAGAAAGTAAAAAAAAAGAAAAGTAAAAAGAGGGATTCATGGATCCTTCTCGGAAGCCATGATCCCTTGATTCTAAGTTGCTGATTTGTTAATTGCAATGTGACAACATGGATCTAGCTCCCGCCACTGTTGTCTTTATCTTTTTCTTGTGCAATGTGGGGTATCCCAACACACTCTGGCTGATTTAAACAGGTAGCATTGTGGACACTGCCCACAGATTTGCTTCCATGTACATGAGTCCAAACTGACTAGTTAGCCACTGGAAACCCGAGAGTGATTCCCATAGTTATAACTGCCAAGTGTGTGTAGAAATCTTACAAATTTGAATTTGTATTCCTGACCTTCTGCAATACTATTTGAATATTCTAAAACTACTAAAACCCTTCCATGTTTAAAACAATGCACACTCTTCCTGGTGAAAAATCTGCCTGATCAGAAAGAAAGGTAGAAAGTTCTAAAGGGATATAAAAGGGAATTGAGGGAAAATATCAAACCCTTCATTTCTATTCCCTTGAATCTTCAGTGACACTGAAAGAGATCCTAACTCTAATTTACTAAGGTCAACAATCTTAATTTGACTTTTCTCCTTCAAAGTTTATCTTGAGGAGAAGGGATACTATCTTAACATACAATTGTATGCAGACATTCTCACAGGGGTGTGTATACACAGGCCTCTGACTCATCCCACTGCATGTAGTCTTCCACTCACTGATGAAGGGGCTTACTAAATGGAAAGGAAATAGGTGGTTCTCTGGGAAATACGATTTTGTACTTCAAGAATGCAAAACCTACAGAACTATGGATTTTCTATTCTTATTATTTGTCAATACATTGTATTTACAGACATTTAGCATCATTAACCTTTTCATCATGCTCTCAACTACCATTTGTTTATGCTCTGAACTCCAAAAGGGAATTCACAGGTAAGGAAAAATTGTTAACTAAATCTTTTATAAGATTATTAGATCTTTTAAGTCTGACTCTACCACCAACTTGCTTTATGCAAATTACTTAAATTCTCTAAGCCTCAAATCTCATTTGTAAAAAAAAAAAAAAAAAAGGGAATTTTAAGGGTCTTGCCCACGTTGATGGGAATGTAAAGTGGAAGACAGTAGGGAATACCTCAGAAATCTGAATATAAACCTACCATATGACCCAGCCATCCCACTCCTGGGAATTTACCCAAACTAAAACAGATCAACACAAGAAAGAGTTCTCTGTACCCCTCTGTTCACTGCAACACAATACACAATAGCTAAGATATGGAATCAATCCAGATGTCCATCAACTGTTGACTATAGAGATTATACACTATGAAGTACTACACAGCTGTAAAAAAAAAAAAAAAAGAGAGAGAGAGAGAGAGAGAGAGAGAAATCTTGTCTTTTTCAGCAAGATGGACCTAACTGGAAACTACTATACTTAGTCAAATAAGCCAGTCTCCAAAAGACAGATACCGTATGCTTTCCCTGATCCAAGGTAACTAACAGAGCACCTAAAATGCAATGTATTGGAGTAAAATGGACATTTTGAGATTTGATGATTGTTTACAGCCCTTGTTTCTTCTGTTGAGGATCAGTATTTTTTCTTCATACTATTTGCTGAACTCTTCTACTTAGTGTAGGGTTAACTTTACAATCATTAAGTAAACTGAAAGTAGATCTTTATAAAAATTAAAAGTGAGAACAGGAGAGGGAGGAGGAATAAGGGTGGGAGTGTGGATGGCAGGGAGGGTAGGGTGAGAAGTATCACTATGTTCCTAAATCTGTATATATGAAACACATGAAATTTGTATAACTTAAATAAAATTGAAAAAAAAATAAATAAATAAGGGCCTGGCCTAGAGGTTTGCTCTGTGGAATAACTAAGACAAATCCTGTGAAGTACTTTGTTGACTGTAAAATCTGTGTGGATGTTAAGTACTTGTATTTTACAACTTTATTAATCTTGGAATATTTCAGAGCAAGTAGTTTGAAATAAAAATAAGAAACACCACACACACTCTAGAAGTAATGCTTGTCGCTCTGAAAGGCATTATGTACAGTCATCTCTCAGATACCCACACAGGAGTGGTCACACGGATCCAAACAGTGGATCAAAACTCATTTATGTGGATAGAAATGTACTACTTAATTTTTAACTATTTATTACATTTATGTTTAGGAGAGTTATCTCCCTAGTTAAGTTGTAACTGCTAATCTCCAGCCTAGCTCTTCATGTCGACGGAAAACAAGGATACATAAGAAAAGTAAAATAACTCTTCGGGTGAATTCTCCTACTCTTGCCTCTCTCCATGCACAGTTTTCCAGTTTAATGCCCTCCTTCCTGGTTTCTGATCTGAAGCTTGGAAAATGCCTATTGGCATTTTCTTCACTAATGTCCTATAAAGAGGCAAAGAAACACCTACAGAACATTAGAAAGAAACAGCATGAGCATTTATAATGCTCAGGAAAGTCCTTTTTCCGGCCTGTCTGTCCTCCTGCCTTCACCAGAGTATCCACTCTTCCCTGTCTCAGGTAAGGTGCTAGGTATTGGGTTTCAGGAATAATTGGGTTTCTTCAACTAGTCACACTCCTAGGACAGGAAAGGGAAACAGAAAGAGAGACTAATAAGCACAGGATTAAAAGTGATATGAGGAAAATCTGTGTAGTTTCAAAAAACTCAGAGGTTCAGAGACGGGAGTGGTAAATTGATGGGCCAATGAGAATGGGGCCTAAGTCTGAAAGTCTGTACAGATAAAGGAACCCTTGTCCTGAAAGGGCAATGGATAAAGCCCGAGCCGCGGCTCACTAGGCTAATCCTCCACCTTGCGGCACCGGCACACCGGGTTCTAGTCCCAGTCGGGGCGCCGGATTCTGTCCCGGTTGCCCCTCTTCCAGGCCAGCTCTCTGCTGTGGCCAGGGAGTGCAGTGGAGGATGGCCCAAGTGCTTGGGCCCTGCACCCCATGGGAGACCAGGAGAAGCACCTGGCTCCTGCCATCGGATCAGCGCAGTGCGCCGGCCGCAGCGCGCTGGCCGCGGTGGCCATTGGAGGGTGAACCAACGACAAAGGAAGACCTTTCTCTCTGTCTCTCTCTCTCACTGTCCACTCTGCCTGTCAAAAAAAAAAAAAAAAAAAAGGCAATGGATAGGCACAGGGGTTAAAGATATTTTTCAGGAAGCAGATAAACAAAGGCAAGGATTGTGGAACAATATGTGCCTTCAGGGACTTCAAAGGAAGGTTACTGCTTGCAAAAGCAGCTGAAACATGGTCAACATCTTCATCAGAGCCCAGATGCCATCAAGTCTGAAGCACAGATGAGAAGGACAGTTCACTGAGAAATATGATTTGATGCTCAATCGATTGAAAAACAAACTTGAAAATCAACATCCAGGAGCTGCTAGGAATACAAGGGGTCCTGCTTGCCTACCCACTGAATTACACAGAAAACCAAATGCTAGACTATCATAATTTACCCAAACAGCCGTTATGTTGCTGTTCTGCAGAGGACAAGATTAACCAAAATCATATTTGGAGAAAGGACAGAAAAACAGTGTTGGGAGACTGAATAACCCCTGCATGTCTTTCCTTTTTCTTCAAACAAGAATGCTCTCTCCAGCAAAAATATAATTCACAGAGCGTTGGTTGTGTACCCAACACTAAGGAGGAGACAGAAGAATTAGGTTGCAATCACTGATCTCAAGAAATAGCTTGGAGCGGACAGGGAGAGGAAGGAACTCGTACGAGTTGACACTGGACTTCACTATTCAAGGTCTCTGCCAGTCTTTCTCAGGTAATCCTCACCTTAGTCCTTTGGAGAAGATATTATTTTTTTTTTTTCATAGGCAGAGTGGACAGTGAGAGAGAGGGACAGAGAGAAAGGTCTTCCTTTGCCGTTGGTTCACCCTCCAATGGCCGCCGCGGCCGGCGCGCTGCAGCCGGCGCACCGCGCTGATCCGATGGCAGGAGCCAGGTACTTCTCCTGGTCTCCCATTGGGTGCAGGGCCCAAGCACTTGGGCCATCCTCCACTGCACTCCCTGGCTACAGCAGAGAGCTGGCCTGGAAGAGGGGCAACCGGGACAGAATCCGGCGCCCCGACTGGGACTAGAACCCGGTGTGCTGGCACCGCTAGGTGGAGGATTAGCCTAGTGAGCCGCAGCGCCAGCCTGGAGAAGATATTCTTAAGCTTTCTTGACAAAAAGGAAATCATGGACCAGAGAAACCAAGTGACCTGCCTGAGATCACGTAGTAGGCAAATGGTAAATGATTTAAAGCTTGATCTACCTGACACCAAAGCCCATTCACCTTTCAAAATCCACAAGAAGTTAGACATCGGAACAAACTGCTCCTGGACAAAGTGGCGTATCAGGCCGGGAGAGGGGCATCAGAACAAGAGTGCTGTAACCTTGAGACTCTGAAGAGACAACTTGGCTCTGATGAGAGCCCTGGGAAGCAACCAGCTGGTCAGCTGAGCGTGAGGTCACTTAGGTAAACCGACCACACCGAGGACCAGAGATGCATGGAAAGGTCAGTCTCAAGTATGTGACAAGGCTGGCTGAGTACAACCATCAACCCAGAACTGTCACCTTGCCTCAGTGAGTGCTGCCAAGTTCACTGTGCTCTTGGCCAAGGCCACATCCTTGTTTAGCTTCTTCCCCTTCCTTGTTCTTCCTTCATCAGTCCCTTGCATGTTCTCTTTTTTCTTGAGAGCCCTTCCTCAGCAAGTCACATGTACTGAATCCCTGCCTCAGGCTCTGCGTCTAGGGAGGTGAACCTAGGGCTCCAAGCTACTGAACCAGTTTCGCTCTGATTCAAGCTGCCTTACTTCCCACCTCTAGCACCATCTTCTTTCTTTATTTTTTTTTAATGATTTATTTATTTATTTGAAAGGTAGAGAGAGAGAGAGAGAGAGTTCCATCCACTTCTTCACTCCCCAAATGGCCACAACAACCAGAACTGAGCCGACCCGGGGTCAGGAACCAGGAGCTTCTTCCGGGTCTCTCATGCAGGTCCAGAGGCTCAAGCTCTTGGGCCATCTTCTATAGCTTTCCCAGGCTATAGCAGAGAGCTGGATCGGAAGTGTAGCAGCCAGGACTTGAACCGGCACCCATCTGGGATGCCGGCACTGCAGGTGGCAGCTTTACTGGCTACGCCACAGTGTGGGACCCCATATTGTTTCTTATATTCTATTACTTCAGCTGTTTAGATTTTTGGATAAACTCTTATGAGGTTTGTTTATTAAAAGTATTAGGAGATAAGTTTATTAAGTGGTTACAAGTTAAGAGGCCTAACATCTTAGGGTTAGAATACAGCTTGCATACGCGCGGGGCGGGGCACTACTCTCAGAGAAAGAGCAGAGACCTACAAAACACAGAACAGAAGCAGGATGGGACATCTTCTGCTATGTGATTTGATGCATGCGCACGCATGTGTGTGTGTGTGTGTAAGAGAGAGTGATTAGCACGGGGAGAGGCTTAGCTGCTATGGTTCTATCAGATTTTGAACACTCTCACTTTCCTCTTCAAAATTTATGAAACAACCAAAGAATGACTCATAAATTCAGTCTTTCCAAGCATAGAAACAGAGTTGATCCCTCTACTCTTTGGTTCTAGCTTTCTGCCCCTGAGAAGGCACCAGAAGGCCTCCTGCATGCTACAGTGGCCCGCCAAGACCTCCAGGGCTGAGGGCACCAGTAGAGCAGCTTCGGCACACATCTTCAGTGTGGTCTCCTGGCTTCCACTGGCAGGTATGGTTTCTGTGGGGGAAAGAACAGTGCAGGCTCCCCAAGTCCTCCAACAGCAGGTGAGCCTGCATTCCCCACGATGTAGACAGCACTTCTCATTATTACCCACGCGACCCTCCCCAGAATACCTGGCCATCATCTCAGGTGCTTGAGGGAAGCCCTGTTAATAGGGAACAATCTCACTTCACCGACTGAAAAATTGTCAGTTTTAACTGACAGCTCACTTTACATTTAAAGCACTGAATATGTGAGTGGAAATTTCTTGTTTCATCGAAAGAAAAGAGGAGAGGGAGGGAGGGAAGTGTGTGGGAGGGAAAGAGAAAGGAGAGGAGGAGGAGGGAGATGAAAACAGCTGAAGATTCAGGTGATCAACAGAGGAGCTAATGACCCTGCAGCCTTCCCCGCGAGCGAGGCTCCAAGCTTTACTTATGCCATCCATCCAATTCTGCAAAGATGTGGAGTACTGGTATTTCCAGAAAATGAGGCCAACGCTGAGAGAGAGGCTAAGAACCTGCCAAGGCCAGTGCTACCCTTGGAAGCATCTCCCTCCAAAGCCCATGCTCTTAACTGCTACTATTCCAATTTGTAAATAATACATAATTTAAGTAAAAAAAATAAAGTGCAATATAGTAAACTATGAAAGATATTATGTGACTCTCTTCTAAAAGAAAATATCCCTGGGGTCACTAACTACCATTTTCACAATGTTCTATTTTTTCATGCAATGCATCTCAGGAGAGATAACAGAATATTGCTATATAGAAGAGGTGCCAAATAGTCACTCTGCACCTAAAAGCAAAGAGAAAGGTTTTGATTTTCAGTAATGAGCACATATTACATCTATAATCATAAATAAATTATTGTGAAAAGTTGTGGTGATTTCTTCCTAAAAGGTAAAAAGTGATCTTAGTATGGATTTTGCTTGTAAAAAAGGGAAATTCTATTCATGGTTGCCCCAAGGAAATATTCTGAATTGTTACATGTCTCCTAAAATGTCTTTTGGGACTCAGTATCTGTTTATGCTCCATACTTCTAAATTGGGTCAAATAACAAAAGTACTAGAAAAGTTTCAAAATATTAAAATGTCTATTGCTAATTGCCATCTCAAAGTTTTTTTTTTTTTAAGGTTCACCTATTTGAAAGGCAGAATGGCAGAGAGAAGATCTTACATCTGTTGATCCCCCCACCCCAAATGACCACAATGGATGTGGCTGAAGCCAGCAGCCCAGAACTCCAGCTGAGACTCAAACCTCTGCTACAATATGGGATGCTGGTATTGCAAGGGGTGGTTTAACCTGCTCAATACCAGCCCCAAAAGTAGATTTATAGCACGGAGTCAGCCAAAGTACCTCGTACTAAAGGTCTAGCATGTATGTGAGACCAACGAGATGTTGACATTTGAACCAGTACCAAGCCTCCATGTGCACCTATGCTCTCAAAGCTAGTCCTTCATCATGGATATGGTTCCAACTGTTAGCTGAAGTAGTAACCAACACATCAGCCTTAGTAGTGTCCAGCTCCAATTTTAAGTACACAAACATAAATGTACAAAAGTCCATAAAACACAAATATAGTTTATTATTAGAACATCCACTTTAATATTATATTATGCATAACTAAATTATTATAAAGTGAGCACTCACATGACCACCAGCCCCCAATGTGTCCTTATGAATGACCCTCTTTCTAATTGTAACCATGCCTGATTTTTTGTGACAATTTCCTTAGCGTGCACACACACACACACACACACACAGAAGAATAGTTTGCTCCATTTTTGAAATTTGTATAAATTTGTATTGTGCTTTGAGTCTTACATTTACTATCATGGTCCTGAGTTCTTTCCATTTTCCTGGCTTTGAAACATTCCGTTGTATGAATGTACTATATTGGATGTCTCCATTCTACTGTGGTGAGCATTACCAGCTTGGGGCTACTAAGAACCTTCTTGACATGTATTCTGTTATACATATGCATGAGTTTCTCTTGAGCTCATCCCTAGAAATATAATTGCTGCTTGTAGGGTTTACATGTCTCCAACTTAATTAGATGCTGGTCCATTTCCCAGAGCAGTTATACTAGTTTATAAACCCATGTTACTGAATGAGAGTTCCTGGAGCTCTGGATGTTTGCCAATCTAATAAGGTCTGTTAAAGGCATACTTTTCACTTTTGGTCAGTCTGCTTAGTGCGAGGTGGAAACTCACTTGATCTCAATTTTCATTTTCCTGATTAATAAAGACGTTGGCTATCATTTCATTGGTTTTCTCACCAATTATTGTAGTCCTTTGCTCATTTTTCTATTCAATCTTTTCTTTAAAAATCTATTGTGTATCATTTACATCTATTTTTATATATTCCTGACATTAATCTTTTACCAAATATAATCATTCTGTTGCTGGCATTTTCTTTACAATGCTTTTTGAAGAACCAAGGTTGTGATTTTAATACAGTGAATTTATCAAATATTTTCCTTTTATGGCTAGTTCTTTTTATATCTGATTTAGGATATGCTTCCCAGACCCAAAGTCATAAAGATATCACCTACTTGAAGTTTTGTATGTTTGTCTTTCACATTTAGGTCCTGATCTATTTGGAAAGGATTTTTATGTGTGGTGTGATATAGAAACCCAATTGATTTTTCCCATACAAATGTAAACTGTCTTACTATTACTGACTAAAAGGTCACTACTGTAGGCATAGCAGTTAAGATACAACTGAGGATGTTCCCTATCAGAGTGCCTGAGTTTGAGTCTCAGTTCTGCTCCTGATTCCAGCTTCTTGCTAATGCACAACCTGGGAAGCAGCAGGTAATAGCTCAAGTAATTAGGACCTGAGACCCAGACTGAGTTCTAGGTTCCTGACTCTGGCCTATCCCCAGCTGTTGAAGGCATGTGGGAGTAATCCAGTGAATGAGAGATCTAACTGTCTATTTATCTGTCTCTCTCTCTCTCATTCTCTGCTTTTCAATCATTTAATAAATAAAAAACTGTAAAACATCATGCTTTCTCTGGTACATCTGTCATGTCTGTGTATGTGTGGGTGTTTCTGGAGTCCACTCTGTTGCGTTTGTCTAGTCACATCTGTCCTTGCATCAGGTCCATATTGTCTTAATAGACCTAGCTTTATAATGAGTCTTGATATCCAGGGGGAATAAGTCCTTTTTTGTTGTTCTTTATACAAGAGAGTCTTTGCTTTATTTGAAAGTCAGCATTTCCATGTAAATGTTGGAATCAACTTTTAGGACCCACAAAGAAGAAAAACAACAAATATGTTGGAATCTCACTTGGATTTATAATTAATTTATAAAACAAATTGGAGAGAAGTGGCATGGTTGCAAAACACAAACAAAATCCATCAGCACATCTTTCAGGTGCCCAAACACTAAGTCAGTGCCTCATTGCTTAGATTTTTGGTGGCACTCCCACTGCAACGTACCAATTCTGGCTAAAAAAAGTAAACCCTCTAATTCCAGTGGCTGAACCTGAGAAAATGTATGCTTTGGTCATGCCAAATTAGCACAACGAAGTTGGTAACTCTTCTCCTTCATGAACTCTTCAGAGGCCCAGGCTGATGGAAACTTAACCATCTTCAACATGTTGCTTTGAAGGTTTCCCTTGGTATTCACATTCATCAGGACTACTGTATGTGGAGAAAGAAGTTCCAAGGTCATGGGGAAGGTTTCCACAGGTCTGGTCAGGATGCGGCATATGTAATTTCTGCCTTATTCTATTGGTCAGAACTCAGTCATGTGGCCACCATGTGGCCACCATGAAAGAAGACTGGAAATACCACCCCACTGTGGGGAGTTGAAAAGGTATGGCCATGTTTTCTAAGCATTACACATTTTGTCTCTTTCCTTGACATACTGTGTGTTCTGTACAACGGTGACCACAAGTTGTAACGGTATCACCACTATAATTTGAAAATGTTTCAGTGTTAAGTCTGGTACTTACTGTAGCTTCATACATATTCTTTATCAGATTAAGAAACTCACCTTTCCTATGTGATTTTGTCACTTACAAATTCTGAATTGCATTCAATATATTTGTTCATCTATTTTGACAATCACATATATACCCTTTTTTCTTTTAATCTGCTAGTGTGTTTAGTTCATGGGTCACTATTGAAATGTTACACCATGCTTTAAGTTAGACCAATTTGGTCATAAAGTTATTATTTTCTTATGTGTTACTAAATTCAGTCTGTGAATACTTTAAGATTTCTGCATACATGTGCATGAGTAATTTTATTTTCTCACACCATCAGGTTTTGCTATCAAGATTATACAAGGGTCACAGAATGAACTGCAACTCTCTTTAACTTCTGGAATACACTGGAAGACTGTGAATATTTCTTCCTTAAATGTTGATGGAACTCACTGATAAAGCCATCCTCACTCAGTAGTTTCTTTATGAGAAGCTTTTAAAATACTGCTTTCATTTCTTTAACTATCTTACTTCTATTTAGTTTAGTTGAACTATATTTTAAGGAATTATTTTTTCTTCTCAAATTTCTTAACACAAAGTTGCTTAGCAAATCCTCCTAGTATGTGTGAAGTCTCCCACACTAGTACTGATACCCCAGTTTTGATTCCTGATATTGGATATTTGTGCTTTCTCATGTTTTCCTTGATGAGCTTACCGAAGTTTTATCCATTTTACAACCTTTTTGAAAAACCAACTCTTGGCTTTTTTGATCCTCTCTACTGCTCGTTTGCTTTCCAATTCATTCATTTCTGCTCCTTATTATTTCTTTTTAAAGATTTACTTATTTATTTGAAAGACAGAGTTACAGAGAAACAGAGGCAGAGAGAGATAGACAAGTCTTCCATGTGCTGGTTCACTCCCCAAATGGCTGCATCGGCTGGAGCTGATCTGAAGCCAGGAGCCAGAAGCTTCTTTCAGGTCTCTCATGCAGGTGCAAGGCTCCAAGGACTTGGGCCATCTTTTACTGCTTTCCCAGGCCACAGTAGAGAGCTGGATTGGAAGTGAAGCAGCTGGGATGCCAGCATGGCAGGTGGTAGATTTACCTGCTATGCCACAGCGCCAGCCCCTCCTTATTATTTCTTACTTTTACATTGTTTGGGATTATTCTGTTGCTAATTTTCTACATTCTTGAGACAAATGCCAGCTCAGCCTTTATTCTCTTCTAACAGATGAATTTAAGGTTCTATGTTCCCTTCTAAGAACTACTTTAGTAGTACAGGGATTATCATTTGACTCAAAATATTTTGTGATTTCCATCATGATTTAAAAGGAGATTTAGAAAGTTTTGAATTTTCTAACATAAGATTTTCTTATATATCTTTTTGCTATAGTTTATAGCATAATTGTGTTATGGTAAGAGCAACATAAACTATGTGATTTTAATCTTTCAAAACATATTGAGCCTCCTAGGCCCCATTTTATTCCCTTCAAGTTGGGAGCTGGATCGGAAGTGGAGCAGCCGGGACTTGAACCTGCACCCATATGGGATGCCAGTGCCACAGGCAGATGCCTAACCTACTACACCACAACACTGGCCCCTAATTTAGTACTCTTTCATGAAGTATAGTAATTTTTTGAACTTCATTTTTTTAAAAAATACTTATATTATTTATTTGAAATACAGAGTAACAGAAAGACAGGGAGAGACAGAGAAGGAGATCTTTCATCTGCTTGTTCATTTCCCAAATGGCTGCGATGTCCAGGACTGAGCCAGGTTAAAGCCAGAAACCTGGAACTTCATCCAGGTCTCTCACAGGGGCGGCAAAGGCCCAAGTACTTAGGCCACCCTCCACTGCTTTCCCAGGTGCATTAGCAGGGAGCTGGATTGGAAGTGGAGCAGCAAGGACTTGAAATGGAACTCATATGGAAAGTTAGGGCAGCAGGCAGCGGCTTAACCTGCTGCACTACAATGCCAGCCCCTGACTTTGTTTTTTTTTGTTGTTGTTGTTGCTGCTGAAATGCAATTTATTCAAATTCTAAATGATCTAACCATTACTGTATAAAATGAGTGAAAAATTTCCCTGGATCAAAATTCTGAAAAGCCTGACTTTTTGAACCTCTTCATCTTGCTAATAATCATTAATAGGATTATAACATTGTGATGGACATCACAGGAGTGCATGACCATTGGATAACGTGCTGCTGTTTGCACCTTGCACAGGTCAAGGTCTCTGCTCTTGGACAGCATCGTGTAACTGCAGGGCCGTGTGTCATACAAGAGAAACAACACAAGGCTTGCAAGTGGGTGCTTTAG